TCACAGCGGATGGCTCAGGTGGATGACGTGGCGGATGACTCGGCACCACGTGTCGCTGACGTGGTCCAACGTGGAGATGACGTGGCAGCTGACGTGGATCGTCTTCTTCCTCGGGCCTGCGTGATGACGCAGTGATGATGCAGGCAGTTTTCCGGCGGCGCGTACAGCCTCTTCCGGTGGCCAAACAAATCCCCAAAAATACCAGATTTCTCGTCTCGCCGAGACGAATCTAACGGTATGATCAGATCCTGATTCCGAGCAACTTGAAAAATCACGATTTTCTAACCTGTAGAAATTTACTTGAAAATGAGAAAACAGTGTATGGAAACTCAACCTCGCTCTGATACCACTTGTTGGGATTGGAAAATTCTTCTATTCAATATCAAGAACAGAATTACAATAGGAGGAGCAAACTCTCACACTCAACTATTACAAAAAATCAATCCTCACTAATACATTTCTACAGTAAGTGTATTTCACTCTTCACACACTTTTCTCACTTTCTAAACTGATACTATGAACAACAATGGAGCACTCTATTTATAGGGCTGGTTTGGAGACATGAGGAAGTTGCATCCAAGCTTACTAGTTATCTCCATATCTTCTCCCACACCTATTTGTTGGAGAGATCTTTCCAAGAAGGTGCCTCTATGTTAAGGTGTCTCTTGACAACTCCAAGAAAGAAGGTGGAAGATACCTACAAAAGTGTGGCACTATCTTTAAATTTAAAATCTAATATTTTGAAATGAGCTTACAAGTGCAAAACAAAAGTAATAAAGTAATATAAATATTATGATACCACACAGTGCCTATACCGTACGACCGGTATACGGTGAGCACCGTATACCAGTATACGGATTTATATTTTTTTTCCTTTTTTATTTTTGATCCGATTTTTATAAAATTTATATTAACATTTTTTATTTTTCATTATCTTTCAAATGAGACCAATATTGCCTATGTAATTTTAACATATTAACATTTGCGTGTAAAATATGTAACTTTACGTGTTAAAATATGTAACTCACATTCAGTCAGACCAAATGCAACTCGTGTGTATAAATATGTATCTCTACGTGTAACAATATGTAACTTTACGTAAAAAATATGTAACTCGCGTTCAGACAGGTCAAATGCAATTCGTGTGTATAAATATGTAACTCGCGTGTATAAATATGTAACTTTACGTGTAAAAATATGTAACTTTACGTGTAAATATATGTAAGTCGCGTTCAGGCATGTCAAATGCAACTCGTGTTTATATATATGTAACTCACTTTTAAAAAGATGTAACTTGCTTATAAAAAGATGTAACTTGCTTATAAAAAGATGTAACTTGCTTATAAAAAGATGTAACTCGTTCATAAAAAGATGTAACTCGATGTATTATCAAATGTAACTGAGACCACTGATCCACTCCCAAACAGATTCAATCTTCTATTTCACAAATCTATCATCTCCCAAACAGATTTGATTTTCCTTATAATCCAATACTCATTAATATAATAGTTCGATAATTTCTTAACATTACATAAGCAATATTGGTTTCATTTGAAAGATCATGAAAAATAAAAAATGTTGATATAAATTTTATAAAAATGGGATCAAAAAAAAAGAAAGTTATCATCATTTTTAAACAACAAAAGCAAAAAAAACAGGGAAGCTGCGTCGTTTTGCAACCGGGCGCACCATCCTCATGGTGCGCCGGTTGCACGGTATAATTTGCCGATACCACAAGTACACGTGTACATAAATGGTTATCATAATAACATATACTACGGTATTTAAATATTACTTTAACAATATTTTAGTAACCACCACATTTAATTGTAAAACATTTAAGGACCATGCAAATTAATACTTAAGCTTTATTTTCCAATAAATGTCGAACAATCCTCCTTCATTTATTGGGAAATAAACATGCTCATCCTTGCCAAATAGACCACTTATCAAGACTTATGCATAATTGAAAGTGTCATGAAGATTGAACTTTCATTTAGTGCAATATTCTGTACAATATTTCGGATCATAATAGTAGACTAAGATTTGAACTATATGACCTCTTTGAAAATACTGAAGATATTACACACATAAATCTCTATACATTTTCACTTAGAAACTTGACACAATTAACGGCCTTGTGTCCATATCCATTCATGAGCTCCAACAAGTAAAGCCTTAAACTTGGTGAATCGGCCGCAATTCTAGCTCACATAGGTAGGTCTTTTCAAACTGTGTTCTGCAATCAAATACTTTATCAAAAGATCTATTAAGACATAGTCAACCTCATTACACATTGCAGACTCAAGCACTTACCTCGAGATGATTTTTGTTCAAAAGTGCTTCAACCACAAAGTGACTTACTCATCATCATTGAACTCAAGATCTAGCGTTGTACTAGACGTTGAGTTGAGCTTTCATTCATTTGTGATTATTTTCCAAGGGCTTTAACCCCATCCCTTTTGCAGTTTTGTACACCATGTCTCTTGGCATCGCTTTTGTAAAAGGATCCGCAAAATTCACATGCGACCGTACAAAATCAATCACAACAACTCCAGAACTAATAAGTTCCTGCACATAGTTGTGTCTCACTCCTATGTGCCTTGACTTACCATTGTACACATGGTTATAAGCTTTTGACAGAGTTGATGCACTATCACAATGGATTGATATCGGAGCCATAGGTTTAGGCCATATCGGTACTTCTGACACTAAATCATTTAGCCATTCCGCTTCTTTACAAACTGATGCTAAAGCTATAAACTCCGAAGCCACGGTAGAGTCCGTGATACAAGTTTGTTTCTTAGATGCCCATGAAATAGCACCTCCTCCAAGAAGGAATAACCATCCACTTGTGGATGAATAATCCTCTTGATTAGTTATCCAACTTGCATCCGTATAACCTTCTAATATAGAGGGTTCACTCTTGTAACATAAGTCGAAGCTCATTGTTTTCTTTAGATATTTCAGCACTCGCTTCAAGGCTTGCCAATGAAATATACTAGGATTACTAGTATATCTACTTAGCTTTCCTACCGCAAATGCAATATATGGCCGGGTGCTAGTCATTGTGTACATCAAACACCCAATCACCCTAGCATATTCAAGCTGTGATACAGCGTTCCCACTATTTGGAACTAATTTCCAACTAGGATCCATGGGATTGGAAACCGGTGAACAATCCAAACTCCCAAATCTTTTCAACACTTTCTCTATAAAGTGAGATTGTGTTAAGGTGATAGTATCACCTTGCTTGATTATCCTAATTCCAAGAATAACTTCCGCTTCACCCATATCTTTCATGGAGAAGTTTGAACAGAGAAAAGCCTTTGTCTCATTTACTTGCCTCAAATCAGTGCCAAATATGAGCATGTCATCCACATATAGACAGATAATGACACTATTACCAAGCTCATTAAATTTGCTATATACGCACTTGTCTGATTGGTTTATTTTAAAACCATTTTTTAGCACCACCTCATCAAATCTTTGATGTCATTGTTTAGGTGCTTTTTTCAGACCATACAAGGACTTGACAAGTTTACAAACTTTCTTTTCTTGTCCTTTAACAACAAACCCTTCGGGTTGTTTCATATTCACCTCCTCCTCCAATTCACCATTTAAGAATGCAGTTTTGACATCCATTTGGTGAATAACAAGATTGTGAATAGCCGATAAAGCAATTAACAATCTTATGGTAGTTATTCTAGCTACCGGTGCATATGAGTCAAAGTAATCAATACCATGTTTTTGTTTAAAGCCTTGTGCAACCAATCTAGCTTTAAACTTGTCAATGGTACCGTCTACTTTCATTTTCTTCTTGAAAATCCATTTACAACCGATTGGTGTGAAATCGGGTGGTAAATCACTTAGAACCCAAGTATTATTGCCCATAATTGAATCCATTTCATCATTCACAGCCTCTTTCCAGAAGGAAGCATCTTGTGATTTCATTGCCTCCTCAAAAGAGTTAGGATCCTCCTCAACACTATAACAATATAGTGTTTGAGTTAGGAGGGTCTCTCTTGATCCTTCAACCAAATATAATTGGAAATCGGGACCAAATGACTTTTCTTTTCTAGCCCTCTTACTCCGTCTAATTTCAGGCTCATTTTCATGATCCTTTTCCAGTTCATGAAAATTTGAATTACTTGAACTGAGATCAACATCATTTGGCCTAGGAGTAGAAGTGAACCGCTTCTCATCAAAAAGAGCATCCTTAGACTCAATAACGGTATGAACCGCAATTGAGTCATTCGGTTCAATAACATAGAACCGATATGATTTACTATGTTCAGCATATCCAATAAATATGCACTCTACCCCCTTTTCACCCAACGTTTTCCGTTTAGGTTCCGGTAATCTCACGATTACCCTACAACCCCATACCCTAAGATAACTTACTTGGGGTGTTATTTTGTGCCAAAGTTCATATGGGGTAATCTTATTTTTCTTGTTAGGCACTCTATTAAGAATATAAGAAGCAGTTAACATAGCATCACCCCAAAATCCATTACTTAAGCCCGAATTAGACAACATGGAATTAACCATTTCTGTTAAGGTTCTATTCTTTCTTTCAGCTATGCCGTTTTGTTGTCGCATGTAAGGGGCTGTTGTTTCATGGATTATTCCAACGGATTCAAAAAATTTAGGCTCATAATATTCTCCTCCATCCATTGCCTCATCTTTGGAAAATAAAAGATATATATAACAATATCTTGTGCAATCATCAATAAATGTGACTACATATTTTTTATTTCCAAAAGAAGGAGTGTTATGGAAATCACACAAATCACTATGCACTAATTCAAGCATGTTGGATTCTCTTTCAACATTTTGAAAAGAATTTCTAGTGATTTTATTTAACATGCAAGTTCTACATTTTCCTGTGTTAACATTATAAGGAGGAATTAATCCTACTTTAGACATGTCACTAAGTCTACTATAATTAATTAACATGACATAACCTATTGTGCCACAAAGAAGAATCACAAACCATATAAACAGAATTAACAACTTTATTTACAACACTTAGTTTGAACATGCCATTACAATAGAAACCTTGGCCAACAAATACACCATCCTTAGATAAAACAAACTTATTTGCTTCAAAGCTAAGTTTAAACCCAAAGTTATTTAGGATCCCACCGGAGACAAGATTTTTCCGGATTTGTGGTACAAAGTACACATCATTAAGAATTAATTTCTTTCCGGAAGATAATTCCAACTCTACTTGCCCAATTCCTTGAATTTGCACAGTAGCGTCATTTCCCATGTATAAGATTGGCCCCTCTTGCAACTCTTTTAAAGTCTTAAAAGATTGCCTATCTTTACATACATGCCTTGTTGCTCCGGTTTCGATCCACCAAGATTCATCATCCTGCACAACACAAATTTCAGAAAGCATAGCTACAAAAATCATGTTGTAATCAACATCATTTGTAACTATAAAAAGATTTTGATCTTGGTTGTCTTGGCAACCATTTGGATGGCCGTTCGATTGGGCCTTCTTCTTCACCTTCAGGCAGTCCCTCTTGAAATGTGGACCACCACATTCCCAACAAGAGCCTACTTTCTTATCTTTCGGTCTCTTTTGAAACTTGGAACCTTTGGTGAATTTCCCGGGACGTTTTTTATTTTTCTTAGTCCCACTTGACTGTCCCTCCTCCATAACATTTATAGAGGAAATTGGAAGATCATTCTTTTTACCATTGTAACCTTCACGCAACTTAATGCCTTCTTCAATTTGAAGTCGGCAACCAAGTTGCTCCATTGACAAATCCTTTTTTTTTTGCGTTTGAGACTATTTTTCACTTCCTTCCATGAAGGTGGTAATTTGTTGATTATAGAACCGACCACAAAGGTTTCATTTACATGCATGTTATGAATCAAAAGTTGATCATATAAACGTTGAATCTCATGAAATTGCTCCATGACCGAACGAGAATCCACCATTTTGTAACTATTAAAGTTAGTAATGAGAAATTTCTTGTTTGAAGCATCCTCGGTCATATATTTGGACTCTAGAGATTCCCACAACGTTTTAGCATATTCAACATTTTGATACACATCAAAAAGAGAATCACACATACCATTCAAAATGTGTCCACGGCAGATATAGTCATCATTGTCCCACTTTATGCGACAATGACTTGTTTCCAAAGACTCGGGCGGCCTCGGAGTGCTTAACACGTAGACCACTTTCAAAGTGGTAAGCAAAAAATGCATCTTTTCCTGCCACCTTCGAAATTCCACACCTTCAAATTTTTCCAATTTTTGAAAATTGGTGTTGATATCACGTTGCGTAGCGGCCATATTTACGGACTAGTAAACTTTTAGATTGTTAGAACCGGATGATAAAATTAGTAAAATATAAGGGTGTATAAATATGGTTGGACCGGATATCACTTCTAGTCACGTATAAAATACGCTTTCCTAAAAGTTTACTACTATCTACCCTTATCACAGTAACCGGGTTACAAGATAGAACTTTTGAGATAAAAAGAAGGTGTATGGTGTATTTTAGTTACCGATAAAATAACACCGAACAAGTGATTTGTATATAAAGTGGTCTAAACACTTTATTACCAATACTGCAGATAAAAGTAATAGAGTAAGGCATATAGAGAAATTGACAAAATGATTTTGCCGTGCATCCTTCATTTCAGCATGATCCTCATATTTATAATTAAATTGATGTCTCTTTTAAAAGGATTTCACCAACCGAAATGAACTTACGATGAAACGGTTGTCAAACTTCCTTCCTTGGAAGGATCACACCTTTTCAAAAGTACACAACTATTCTTTTTAGAAAAAGTGCGGCATTATCTTCAAATTTAAAATCTAATATTTTGAAATGAGCTTACAAGTGCAAAACAAAAGTAATAAAGTAATATAAATATTATGATACCACAAGTACACGTGTACATAAATGGTTATCATAATAACATATATTTAAATATTACTTTAACATTATTTTAGTAACCACCACATTTAAGTGTAAAACATTTAAGGACCATGCAAATTAATACTTAAGCTTTATTTTCCAATAAATGTCCAACACTTGTATTGGTTTAGCCTTTAATTCTTCAACTATTTGTACTTTCTTCTCACGTGTTAATGCTCTTGCTTTTCACAATGCCTTGATTGTCCTACTCTGGAGATGAGTAGTTGTGTCTCCTGTTGGAAAAATGTGTTAAAAATTGCATTAAATGGTCATTTTGGGGCAATTATTTGAGTGGGGTCCACTTCCGATTTGGGTCGGGTCAAAGTGGTTTCGGATTGTCCTTGTTAAGGGCTACAATTCGATATGTGGTACACTCAAAACGGATAACGGGTGAATGAGAAATTGATTCTCGAAGTTCACTACGTGAAGTCAAAGGATAACATAGCGGATCCGCTAACCAAGGCATTTGATAGAGAATTGTTGGAGAAGTTGTCACGAGGAATGGGACTAAAGCCCGTGAATTGAAAAGTTCTATAGTGGATACCCAACCTAGTTGGTCCTAGGTTCAAAAGGGACAACTAAATTATAGAGCGAAGGATGGTCACTGTGGGGGTCTCAGACTCCTACCCACTCCTCGTTAAAACAGTGACTCCCGCACGAGGTTAGCAAAAACGTTTGCTTTAATGATTCTAAAATGTTGATCTACTCGATAACATTGGAAGAGTATGCGGGATACTCGTGAAAGAAACACCTATGTGAGAGAGAAGAGGGCCGCTTCAAAGGAGAACTGTATAGGCTCAGTTCTTTAGAAACTCTTGCAGAACCAGGACGGTGACCCATGGCCAAAACGGGCACACCCATGAGAACGGAACAAAGTTGGAAGGTTCTTGTGTAAAGATAAGTCAATGTTTACACGACGGCAGTATAGTTCAAGGACATCGAGTCTACTAGACAGCCAGTAAATAAACGTGTCTTTACAACGGAAGGTTCAAAGGATAAAACCTACCTCTCCGTATGCAAGGATCATCCGGTGAACACAACGTGTCCTCCTGGAGAAGGGTATTGCTGTACTGATGGGGGCAAAGTTAACCGTCGGCCTCTCAGGAGCCTTCTGAAAAATGTTGGCAGGCGGCGCACCTTCGAGACATGAAGAAGGGTCCCTGGTGAGCTGAGCAAGTGCCACTGTGCACTTCCTCCATTGCAACTTCAGCTTCATCTTGATGAAGTCATCGGAGCAATGTGCCGTTGTGGGATCATTTGTAAAGCCTCCTGTCATCGATGGTGTAGCTGGGAGCCCTCAGCTTTGCGCGGGTTTCATCCTCGGGAAGGTGCCCTGTGGAGATGAAGTTCATGATGTCTGAAATCCAGTCCTCAGGCCTTTATTGTATGTTCATGACGGGGCTTGCGTGTATGCTTGAGAGACTGAGTTCCTCAATTCTTGCGATCTTTGAGAGGTGCTCCGGGGATTCAGCCGAGAGCTTTGATAAAATGTCGGCCTCAGAGTTTTGAGCCGTCGGTATTTGATTGAGAGAATGGGCCTCAAATACCTTAAGCAACTCTTTGACCGCTTCTTTGTACTGTTTCATCCTCCCTTCCTTGGCCTCGTATTCCCCTGAAATCTGGCCGACGACTAACTTGGAGTCGCACTTCACATTGATCTGTCTGGCCTTCATGTTAGCGGCCAGCCGAAGGCCACAGAAGAGGGCCTCATACTCCGCTTCGTTGTTGGAAACTTTGAAGGAAAAGCGGATGGCACAATAGACGCGGAAGCCTTCGGACGTAATGAGAACTACCCCTCCTCTTCATGTTTTGGTAGCAGAGGAGCCATCGGTATAAAGGGTCCATCATTCATCTGAGGGTGTCGAGGGCTCCTCATCTACTGCTGACCTTGTCGTGCACTGCGTCACAAAGTCCGCCAGGGCTTGGCCCTTGATGGAGGGCCTCGGGCGGACGTCGATGTTGTACTGGCTGAGGAAGATCGTCCATTTCACCATTCTAGAGGAGCTAGTGGAGCTCCTCATGAGGGCGCCGAGGGGTTGGTGTGTGAGCACTTGGACTGGATGGGCTTGGAAGTAATGGCCCAACTTCTTGACGGTCCAAACGATGGCTAGCACCGTTTTTTCCACGGGAGAATATCTGAGTTCCGTCTCCCTAAGGGTCTTGCTAACATAGAAGATGGGTGATGGATGCCATCCTCCTCCCGGATTAGCACTGAGCTGATGGCAGCAGGAATAACGCCAAGGTAAAGGTACAGAGTCTCCCCCACCTTGGGTTTGGAGAGCACAGGGGGTGAAGATAAGTACCTTTTCAGCTCATCGAAGGCCTTCTGGCATTCTGACGTCCATTGGAAGCCGGCGGACTTTTCCGTCGACTTGGACAAGAAGCAGTTGAGGGCTGCTAGGCGGCCCGTCAGCCGCTGAACCTCCTTTACGTTGCGTGGGGGCTCCATGTTGATGATGGTCTAGATTTTCTCAGGGTTGGCTTCGATACCCCTTCGGCTCACCATGTAGCCTAGGAATTTGCCTCCTTGCACGCCGAAGGTGCACTTCTTCGGGTTTAGGCGAAGGTTGAATTTTTGCATGATGGCGAAGATCTCCCGGAGGTCGTCAGCGTGGCTTGATGATTGTTTGCTTTTGACGATCATGTCGTCAACATAGGCCTCCATGGTACGCCCGAGGACGGCTTGAAAAACCCTAGCCACCATCCGGGTGTAAGTGGCGTCGGAGTTCTTCAGGCCGAAGGCCATGACTAGATAACAGAATATGCCTTTGGGAGTCATGAAGGCTGTTTTTCAGCATGTTCTTCGTGCATGAGGATCTGGTGATATCCGCGGAAGGCGCCGAGGAATGACATGATTTCGCATCATGTCGTTTCATCCACCAGTTGGTCAATATTTGGCAGCGGGTAAGGGTCCATGGGGAACGTCTTATTTAGATCTGTGTAGTCCACGAACATGCGAAAGGTGGGCGGCTTTTGTGCGAGGACTACGTTAGCAAGCCATGAAGGGTATTTCACTTCCTTGATGTGTTTGATGGAGAGAAGCATGTTGACCTCCTTCTTCACAAAATCCCTTCTCTCGGCCGAGAGGAGTCTTCTTCTCTGTTGCACAAGTTTGGAGGAAGGGTTCACCGACAAGCGGTGAGTGATGACCCTTCGGCTAATTCCCGGCATGTCCTCCGGCCCCCATGCAAAAACAATGGAGTAAGCGCGGAAGAAACCGTGATGCCGGTCTTCAAATCTTCAGGGGGCTTGGCTCCTATCTTCACGACTCTCTCCGGCTTGGCCGGATCGAGCGCGAAGTCTTCTACCTCGTCAGCTGGTTCAACCCTCAGCCTCTTCTACCTTGAGGGAATGGAGCCTCCGGCCCTCAGTTGTTTCTGTCATCTGCCTTGGGGCGTTGTTGATCGGGGTTTCGATGGGATCTTTCCACCTTCTCGACCTCTGAGTATCAATCTCCCCGCTGGAGAGCCTTTACGTAGTCGCGCGGAGGCTCGATAATGAGGCTCCTTGAGAAGTTCCCGGTACAGAGGACCGTCTGTAGGAGGGGCCATGAGGGTCCTATCATCGGCGCCGTCGACTTTGTCCGCCTCCAGCGCTCAAGGAAATCCCGAAGGGTCTCCTCCTTCTGTTGCCTTATTGTGAGTAGGTGGGAGAAGTGTTTCTTGGACCGGTGCCTTCCTGCGAATTGTGTCAAGAAACATCGGGCGAGTTCTTGCCACGAATCAATGCTGCCCTCGGGCAACCGGTTGGAACCATTCATGCCCCGGTCCCTCCAAGGTGGAAAGGAACCAGCGGCACAAAGATTTATCTGATGCCCCCATCATCATCATGCTATTTTGATACCTGCTGTAGTGCTCCTGGAGGTCAATTTTTCCTTCATAGGGCTTGATGGGTTGTCCTCAGTACTTCCCCGGAATTTGGGCTGCCAATACCCTTGGGGTAACTGGCGTTCGAGTTCGGAGTTGGATGACGGGTTCCCCAGAGCCTTCGGCAAATTTTCTTTGCATCTCCTCCATCTTTACTAGCATGGCGGCGTATTTGGGGTACGCCTAAGAGGCGGAAGCTGCAGTGTGTGCTTGGCGAGCCTCCATCTCATCAAGGCGGTGTTGGAGGGCCTCGATAATTTCATCACTGTGATCCTTCGGGAGGGCCTCTGCCCCCAGCGATTGAACACGGGCCGAGTGGGCCTAGTTGATTTGGTGCCTGGCATCGTCGGCATGTAGTGGTGCCTTTCCTTTGTCCTGAGGGGCACGCCTCTTGTTTGCCCTCGATACCGACCCCCCGCTTTCTTGAGGTCTTTGGAGTGCCTTACCACCGAGGCGGTCTTGGACCCCTCGGCGATCTTGCACCCCTCCGAGCCTCTCGAGGGCGGATTTCCGAGGCCTTTCTTTGTTCACGCCACGCTGGTCCCGGGATTGGACTTCCTGTGATGCGGTGTCTTGGGCCATGACCCGTTCTACGTTCCCCAGTCGGAGGATGGGGTTCACGAAAAGGGGCGGACGAGGGGGAGGAATGACGTTCTCCTCGACCTGCGACTGAAGTGGTACCAGAGTGCTGAAGGCACCTGGATTCTGGGTGAGTGTCTGGATGAAGGCGGAGAACGCCGATTGTACGTCAATAGTGAGAACCGGAGGGCTCACTTGGTTTTCGCTCTCGTCCTTTCTTCGAGTCTCGATGCCGGGGCGGGCATCGGGAGCATTCTGCTGGAGCTGAAGGCGCAGGTCGACAGCAGCCTGTTCCAATCCAGCGATGACCCCGCCCTCGGGTGCCTTGTTGGACGCTCCGAGGCGTTGACTTCGTCGAGGGCCAGGTTGTTGTCCTCAAGAGTTTTGGACTGAGCATGAGTTCTTACTATTTTCGTTGGTGTTTTGTGTTTGGCCTCTCAATGAAAGCACCAAATGATGGATAGTGTACCCGGGGGGTAGCTTATCCGGGGGGTTACTGCGGGGAGTAACTTAGAGAGAAATCAAAGCAAATAAGTAAGAGAGATAAAGAGTTCGAATATAGAATGAGTATTCAAGTTGTGTGTTACAAAGGGGAAGGGCAGCTATTTATAGTAGTAATAAATTCTAAATAGGCTTGATAGGATTACTTCTATCTGTCATATCTTCCTTTGGGGGTGTAAGTATGCTAGAGTTGCATGGACTGATGTTACCTCCCCAAAGAGGAAGGTGGTCTTGGAATCCATGATACTCATGTTTGGAATTCCGCGCTACTTGCTAAAACCCTTTGG